TGTAGCTAAGTATATGAGTGCATGTACTTGTATTCAACGTGTTCTAAATTTAAAATTGTTTGTTGTTGTTTCATATTTGACTGCTAAGCTAAAGCCTTGGATACTGGCATTGTTGTTCTCACAAAATAGATTTTAAACTAAATGTGCCGCCAAATTTAACCGTGTCAACACTTTGTGGCCTACTATGACCTAACTTGATCTAATGTGTCTTTGGTTCTTTCTTTTTTCAACAATTCAAAATGGTCAAAATTAATTTCGTTTGGTTACGAAAATAATACATTCACTTTAGGCTATTACATCAGTTTAATTCGTAACATCCTTTTGCAGTTTACTGCAAGGTTTTTGGAACACCAAATACAAAGAGGGAGTTAAGTAGAATATGAACCAGGGACTTCCCGTTTGTTAGTCACTGCACTGCACCCCCGATTAGCTATTGGGCGTCAAATGATGGCTTTCACACAAGCTAGAGTTATTATTGGTTCAATAATAAAAAAAGTGTTCATTATATTCTAATGAACGACTTTTTTCTGATGGAAATTTATAATTTTTAATACTTGCGTTACATTTATTGTGCATTTCCTTAGAGATCTGTTATATACATACTCAGTTCATAAAGATAAGAATGTTTAAATGAATACTATACATTCCATTGTACTAACCCCCCGGGGGCATATTTCCTTGATGAAAGACCCTCATCTTGGTGTATTGCAATCCCGGGGAAAAGAGGTGATACCAGTACCTCTAGTCTGCCGGGACTATAAATTGGTCACTCCTCGGCTAGTCCTTGGTATGTTTTGACATGGGGTCTAACCAGAGAACCACTACGGGTGGCCAGTTGCCCGCAGGACTAGTCCTGGCTAGTCAGTTGGTTGAGGTTCCTTCGGGATCCACGTAGTGGCTGTGGTTTAAACCCAAATTCGCGGGAAGAGAATGTTGGTTTAAGGACTGATATATCCTACACATTGGTTGGTTAATTCTCTTTTCAAATGACACATGTCTGCATTCCTGAACGCGATCGGTATTTCTTACCGGTCGTGTAGTAGGGAGCCGGTATATGCTGGGGAATTGTCAGGATAGCGTTCAGTTAATGCCAATCATTCCGTAGAGGGATCTTTATGATCATGGGAATCGAACTGATGCCAAAATTGGTGAATGATTGGGAAAGTTTCCATATATTCGAAATTATTACTGATTTAGTATGTCTTTTTACGCTTCGGGGAAGTTTCATGGTGCTGTTGCCATCTCAACAGGATATATTATTTCATGTTACGCGACTATTTGTCAGGGTAATTATTGGGTTCAGTTGATATTCCTACATCCTTGTCACAGATCGGCCTATGAAGAGGGATCCTGATTTATTATTTTGGGTATTTCGGGCTACCAAATACGTACTGTTGCCACACAAACAGAAACTATCTCTGTAGTGTGGTTGGGTGACTTTAAGAGGTCCAGGAATGCACTGGGGGGAATATTTAGATGATGAGAATGTTTGTAGGGACAGAGCATTCTTCATAACATCAATAGGGTGTTTTCACCTGAATAGAAGGGTCCGCCCTTCTATTGATTCTAACCAGTGATTGCCTTTTTCTTTGTCGGGGTTAGATTGAGCTTGCTCATTACACCTGTCCTTCCCCAACGGAGGCTACTATGGCAAGAGATTAGATAGCTCGAGTACTCCAGCAAAGTGCTTGTATATGGACCGGCTCAGCCATGTACAAAAATTGCCACCTGATTTCTTCATTGAAGGACTCAGGGCCGACCGTTGACCATTCTCAAGGCTACCCAGTGGATGAAAAAGACCACCGTGAAATAAGGCGCTCAGAGCAGGTGTTAACGTAAAGTCCTTCGACATTCATTTCATTGAATTAGTGTATAACAAGTGCCAAGGAACTAATTCCTTATAAACCCCCTAAAGAACGGGTTGCAAAAGTAATGGCGACGTCCGGTTCCAAGGATTCTGTTCAAAAGTTATTTTTACACCCTTTCTAAAACAAGTTTGTTTAAAATTTGTAATCAATACATACATATCTGCCAATTTGATAATATCAAAGTTATTGAAAAAATTAATTATCAATTTCAAATTTAAAAATAAATTTACAAAAATACTTCAAAGCTAAATCATAAAAAACAATAAATGAAAGTCATAAGTTAAGTTTGTGGCACATACAATAAAACTAAAACTAAACAAAGGAAACAATCCGTAACTATAAAAATCGTATTTGTCAAAAGTTTATTTTTAAAATACACACACACACACACACACATACATAGATATTAAAACTTAATAATCCTAAGTTTAAGAAAAAAAAAAATAAAAATCTATTGCTGGAAACAACTAAACAAGCCATATGTTTGTTAAGAAAGATTATTAGAGAACCTCAAAATAGAACCGGAAATAAAGAGGAGCAAAGAAATAAATATAAGATTATTAGCAGTATTTGTGAACTAAAGAGAAAATGTTTATTGCCCTCATATACACACTTAAATACTCACATATCCTACTGATGCTGATTTATAAGATATTGAGTTTTTATTTTTAGTTTTAGTTTTCTTTTTTCTTTAAGGAAAAACTTTTTTTCATAAAAAAAAATCTTCAACATGTCTGCAAGTGCAAAAGTATTAAATCGAAATGTAACATAAGGATGTTAAAACAAAAGTTTCTTCTTCCAAGGGTGTCTCTGTGAGTGTGAGTGTTTGAGTGGGTGTATTCTGTTGAATTCAACTTAATTTATTTTCTTATGATCTTAAATTATGGTCACTTTTGCAACACTTTAAAAATGTTAAGAACCTTAATATTTTTTTCTCTGGTCTGAGATGAGAATACAACAATAAAGAAAATGAGAAAAAATAAGGATTTTCAATGATTCTGAACTCTGCTCGTTTCAAGGATTTGTCATATTTTTATGATGAGAAGAACACTTCAAATAAATAAATGCTGTCATCAGTATTATCCTTTGTCAACTTAGGGGGTTTTTTCATACACACACATACATATGTATATAGTTGGTTAATGTGGGTAACTAAGAATACTTTTTAAAGAATTTTTTTTTAATTTTTTTCTTGTTGAACAGACAATCTCTAAATAACCTTTAATACTAATTATTAAAAGTTTGAGGTATGATCAACTAAAATAACTAAAACTTTCCATGTGCAACTGAGACGCCTTGATGATAATCGAATATCTGGGAAACAATAGGAATGTAAATTTTTAGTTGAAAGCTTGACAAGTTAACTAGATAAATGAAAAATTTGCATTTGCGAGAGAATGCCATAAGGCCGCTTGGTTTATGGGATCCGTCTTTACTAGAGCAGGACGAGAAAGAAGCCTTCATAGAATGTGCAAGTCTGAGTTCACAGATATAACTAATTATACATAGGTGAATATAGCAGAGAGGGCAGTAAGTCTCTGGAACACTTATCATTGGCAGGATTTCCTCGAAATTAAATCCAAATTTCTTGGGAACGATGTTAATCCAGATCTTACAAATCTTAAGTATACTGATTGGAACAATTTTAAGGAATTTTAAAGAGTGTCTAAACGTAAGGCGGTATTTTTTACCAAAATTTTCCATATAAAGGAGCGTACGGCAGTCCCAATACCGAAATACGTTTGCGAGAGAATCCTATAAGGCCACTTGGTGTATGGGAGCCCTCCTAATGAGAAGCTGGATGTTATTCCAGATCTTACATCATTCAAGAATACTGATTGGAAGAATTTTAAGGAATTATGTCAAGGGAACCTAGCATCGGGAGGGAGGAGGTTGAATGATTACATAAAGTAATTCATTACATGGTCAATTACAATTACTTGCAATATGTGATTGAGTAACTGCCAATTAAAATTACTTGTTATTCAATTACAATTACTTGTAATTCAATTACAATTACTTGTAATTCTAAATTGTAATTGAAAATTCTTCAATCACTGTCAAAAGTAATTATAATAAGCAAAACAAATTACATGGTCAATTACAATTACATGCAATGTGTAATTGAGTAATAGGCAATTACAATTACTTGTAATTGTAAATAAAGTTTTGCCAATTGCAATTACAAGTAATGTGTAACTAATCAATAATTGAAGTCTTTCCAATTACAATTACTTGCCATTGTAATTGAGGTATTACCAATTACAAATTACATGTAATTATAAGGGAAAAATAACAATTACAAATATTTTAATTGGAATTCTTCAATTACAGTTAAAAATAATTGTAATTAGCAAAACAAATTACATGGTCAATTACAATTACTAGCAATGTGTAATGGAGTAATAGCCAATTACAATTGAAGTTTGAAATGAAGTGACAATTTAAAGTAATTTTTAATTGACCAATAATTGAAATTTTGCCAATTACAATTACTTATCATTGTAATCTAGGTATTTCTAATTACAAATTATAAGGGGAAAAATCACAATTACAAATATTGTAATAGGAATTCTTCAATTACAGTTAAAAGTATTTGTAATTAGCAAAATAAATTCAATTACAGTTAAAAGTATTTGTAATTAGCAAAATAAATTACATGGTCAAATACAATTACTTGCAATGTGTAATTACAATTACAATAACAATAACAATTACTTGCCACTATTTAGCTTTTAACAATTACAAATATTGAAATTGGAATTCTTCAATTACAGGTGAAAGCAGTTGTAATTAGCTAAACTTCAATTACAATTACAAATAATTGTAATTGGCAAAACATTCATTATAAATACAAGTAATTGTACGAGTAATTGTAATTGGTAAAGCTTCAATAACTACAAACCGAACTGTTATATAAGATGAACAGTTTTTTCCACTAACTTTTGTAAAGGAGCTCACAACAGACTCGAGACCGGCCTAGGTGTATTTCTTCGTATCTGATATTATGTATATACCTCCCCCTATCAACCTAACCTTACCCTATAACTTTGGCATGACAAAACCCATCCTATTTTCTTAAATTTTGTCCAACTTTCTAATTATTTTTATATTACTTTATATTTTTTCTAGATTCAAAAAATTCGGAGTGATTTCCGGGGTTTAACAGAATCAGTTTTCAGGTAAGACCTATATAAATACATTTTTGTATATTAAAAAAAATTATTTAAATAATATCAAATTCGGGAAATTTACATAAACGATGCACTTTGTTGTTAGTAATATGTATTACAGGATTAAGGACAATTAGTCATAAGTTGACTTTAGTTTCGAACTAGATCATGCTATGTGATTTCCAGCTTTGACTATGTAAAAATAACATTCTCAAAGAATACTTAAAATTTATCAAAATAAACTGATGTTGAGTCAGATTTAAACTTAATTCAAGCAACTTGTTTATATTAAATATTCATTAAAGACTAAAGACCTAAAGAATAAAATTAAATGTGTCACTAACAACACTACAGTTAGGAGCCAACAAACACTCCTCTAGATCTTAGGCAGTTTAAGATTGTGTCAAAAAAGATGTCCTCCTACTCAAACACTAACACTTTCCAAGCAAACACCCCCATATTTTTTACTGAATACATAAATTTATAACTACAAAATGGTTTATTGTTTTTTCTATCCTGTCTTGGCTTGTCTGTGCTTTTTATTATATTTATTTACCTTATGGCTACTTTGTGCATTTCCATGGCAAATGAAAAGGAACAAAAATATATAAAATAATATCAACAAAAAAGGACAATTATGAGCATATAACAAAACTTCATCATTTTATCCTGCAAAACTTTAACATACGGTTAAGATAAAATGACAAGAACACAAACACATACGTACACATATACACATACACCCCCATCAATTTTCCCTTACATATGACATACTCATAAATTATCTTGTGGTTTGTTATGTATGACTAACAAGAACAACAGACCCAAAAATGAATGAAAAATAAAGGACTTTTTCTATTGTTGGAAAATTGAAATTTAAAATTTCATTCTATTATGCAAATGACATATTGTTTTATACATACAAAGTGTAGACACACACAGATACATTTGAACATTTTTCTATATAGACAAATTTATTATTTTTATTATAATAATTTAAAGTTTTATCATACTTATACATATACGTGTACAAACACCTACATATAGTTTGATTCCTAACTTTGTATGTGTGCATGAGTACCGGAAATACTCCCACACACCATATGCACACTGGCTGGCAAAAAGTTAATTTTCCCAGCAGTTTTCTTAACTATCAATATAACCCTTTAAGACAGTATTATCCCAAAAGTCCAGCCATTTGGTTGATTTCAATTTATACATATGTATGTATGTGTGTACTTCTTGTAATACAAAGATGTTGTTAATCATTTAGTGTCCCTCACAAATCTGGCGAGAAGTCAATCTGAATTAAACTTAAAATTTCACTTATTAAACCCACTAAAAGTTATCTATAGAAGGATCAATTGTTTTCTTCTCAGGATAGGTTCATATACCAAACTGCAGGGTTAAAATCCTCCTTTGTGATATTATTCTTAACAACAAATTTTTCCGAGTAACAAAACAATAATAAACAAACAGAAAAATGTTGATGATAAAGAAGATTGAAAGTTATTTTAAAAACTAATGATACTTTTAATGAGCATATAATACGTCTGATTAAAATTCAATCAAAAGTTTATTCTTGTATCTAATATCTTCTCTTTATAAAGGACAACCTGAGTTATTAGTTATTTTGCTCAAGTTGTTGATAGTTATTTGTTTAGTTTGTTTCAAAGTGACTTCATTAGTTATTGTATAAACTTTATAAAAATGTAGTAATAAATAAAATAAACTTTAAATTATGAAAATTTTTAATGTAAAAAATATTTTGACCATTTGAGAGAGAAATTGTTTGGTAAAAACTTAAATAATTAAGGGATTTATTTGTGTAACTAATTAAAAGTTGAATCTACTTCTAGTTACCTCATTATTTATTACACATGTTGTTGAGAGATAATAATGCGGAATAATTAAATTTATTTTGCAATTACTTTTACTTTGAGAAGAGGTATTGCCACTTAATAATTTGTGCAATTCACAATCGCTTCTTAGCATTGTATAGTTGTATGTTGTAAAGTTTTATTATTGTTGTGTTTATGTTTCGTTAACAAATCTATACTAATAAATTATGACATTCAACGGCACAACTTCGACTGTGAATTGGACAAATACATTTAATTATAGAATGTATATATGTAGGAATGTATAGGGTGGTATTGTCGACCCTGTGATACCCTACTCTAGTAAGTATGTTTAAAATGTGGTTAATTTGTATATACTACACCACTTCAGTGAAGTATACCAATCGGCTTAGAATCATTTTCTGAGTCGATAAAGCCGATTTCAACTATTTTAAATAAGCTTCGTTCTTGGATCAAACGAAGAGTTTGTGCCAAACTTCATCAAATTATCTTGAAAATTGCGACCTGTAGCGTGCGGACAAGATTGACATGAACACAAAGACGGGAAACATGTGACGAATCCATACAACACTGGAGGATATGACTATGGGCAAAGTATTGCTTTATGGCTACACTATGGATTAGCTATTTGATCTTGTGAATTTACAAAAACATGTCCCGTCCGTCACAAACTTAAGCAATTGCTATTCTTCAGGCAAAGAATAACTCGCACACTTGGGTCCTGTTGGTCCCTTTGTGATACCTGCAAAGATAATGAAAATAAAAAGAGAGAAAGTGGGGGATAGTTTTAGGGTAAAGTCATAAAAGAAGTCTAGAGTAAGTTTAAAATATAGTACTAAGAGTAGGTCAAGATAGAAGTAGAGAAAGTGAGAGAAAAATTCGTCCTTGTGGACTAGTAAGTGCCTTGATTCAGTTTGCCTTGGTGCTCTTAAAATCAATTATTGTGCCTGATGAAGGCGTTAATGTTCTCCAGTCTTAGCCTAGATAGTTCTGACAAATCGTCTGCTAGCACATGGCAGCGACAGAGAAGATGTTCAATGGATTCTTACTCATCCTCGTCTTGACAGCTTCCACAGAAGTCGTTGTGAGGTATACTAAGTCTTCTTGCATGGTTTGCAGATAAACTATGTCCTGTGATGACAGCAACAAGATTGCTGAGGTGAGGACGGCTTAGTTGTAAAAGATACGAGGTACGTTTACTATCGAAACTTCGCCATATCTTTCTGGTGCTGATACAAGTTGGTTCAAATCCCCGTGACCCCGCACACATTTGAGCACGATTGTCGAATGTCTCGTCATCCTATATAAGGATGTCCGGCATTCGTGGACTAATTTGGATGTGGATGTAGATTTGATAGCAGCTTGACTATTGGTGCAAATTTGAATATCTCTATTTGATATTCTATAGTACCAAAGCCAATTTGCTGCTCTTTTTATGGCTGATAGTTCAGCCTGTAGTGGACTACAATCATTCTGTATCCTAAAATTTATTTTAATGCCAAATTTAGGAATGAAAATGCCACATTCCACTCGTTCCCCTTTCTTAGAATTGTCCATATATACCGAAAGGATTCTTGGAAAACTATTTACCCCCAGTACAGAGTTTTCGGAGATGGTGTAGCCGAAGTTTCTGTGGAAGAAAGATTTGGGAGTGCAGCAATCAATATTAACTGGGAAGAAAGATGTTTCCTTCATAATAGTTGCATGACCGTATGCTCTATATGTCCATACATTTATTTCATTGAGTCTGAAGGTCGTGCCAATTGCCAGTTTTCTGGTTAGAATATCGGTTGGGATACAATTTAGCATTGCGAATAGAGATTAGGTCGATATTGTTCACAGTGCTGCTGTTATAAGCATTGATATCTTCCTTAGAACTTTGTCAAGGAGTATACAGTTGAAGTTTCTGTCAAGAGCTTTCCACCAGACAACCATCCCGTGAAGTTATCGATCTCGTATTTTACAGTGTAGAGTACAAGCTCAGTTTTACTCGGGCTTATGCTCCATCGACTTAATAAATTAAGTGCTGTTTCGAGTCTTTGCGAAATCGTCTTCAGATGGAAACGTATACGACAGTCTTATATCTTTGGGTGTCCAATTTTCTGAGTAGACTGTTTATGGCTACGTTACACAGAAGTGGTGGTAGGACTCCACCATGAGGTATGACCCTTATTGCCATTCTTTGGATACTTACCATTCCCATGTTGAAACGGATAATCCTATTTGGAAGAAGGTCTTTTATGAACCTGATCGTTGATAAGTCAATACCAAAAAAAAATAAATATTATAAACAGTTTGGTGTCAATTTGGTACCAGGTGTGTATATTTCTTTTTCCCTCTGTGTATGAAAAATAAATCACATTTAATATTCATAACTGGTGTAGGGTATCATATGGTCGGTCATGCCCGACTATACTTTCTCACTTGTTTTTATTTGAAATTAGCCAGTCTGTGGAAATCCAAAGAGTTCGGTCCATAATTGTCCGCATTAAAGAACTCTCTTCACAAAATTAATCTGATGCTTGTTTTAATGTTAATAGGTTTCGATGGGGAGATTCGTCACTAAACTATAAGTTCAAATGTATTTATTTTAACCATTTTTCTCCTTTCCGGTATATTGTTTAAAAAATAACGCTTTCCAGTTATAAGCTTTGTCGAACAAATATTAATTTAACTATTAGGATTTTCTTTTACGCAATAAATTTAATTTATACTCAAGGAAATGATATATAGCATATTTTAAGGCTGTAACAGCAATAAGTAAATATACATAAACAAGTTTGTAAATTTCAAAAGATAATGATTTAAAATGTTTCTTTACAAAGAATTATAGGGGCGTATAATGAATAAATGATAATAAAATGAAATCCTTTTTCCTTTTTGCAATTTACATACAACATACACACCCCTCGATACACTCTTTCATTAGTACACAGTTTTATTTTCCTCTTTTTGCATTTTTTTGTTTGAATGCATTCAGCACAAGCAAAGTGATTTAAAAAAAAGAATAATTCTTATTACACGTTTTTTTGGTTTTCTGCTATTTTTTGCTTTAACTTGTAATTCTTTATTTTACATATTGGGGGGAGGAGCTTTTCTTTTGTTCCAGTTGTTTAAAGACTTTGATTTACTGCTGTACTTTGGCGG